CAACTCTCGGAATTAATTCTTTTCTAACCGGTAGCTTCATGGAAATTGTCCCTCAAATGTATTTTTATGAAGATGCATTTAATTATTATTTTTTTGTGCACTTATACACGCTTACGAATTCATATGTGCATAGAAAAATAATTAAATACGTGGCTATCACTAGAAGGTGTGTCTAAATCAACATTGTTGTTGAAAAAATTTGGACTTTAGGCTCCATTTTTAAAGAAATCACCAATTTTTTAGATATCATGAATAGTTTATATTAAAAAATTAAATATAAATACTTTAAACCGTACATAAAGGTCTTATAAAAACACAAGTCCAATCAAAAAATAAAATAAAATTTAAGGCTCACTTCAAGAAAGATTTCATATATAATTTATAAGTGTGTAGTAATAGTCCAAATAAAAAATTTAAATCCATATCCAAATAAAATATTTCAACTTAAGTAGATTAGACCTATTAATTCAACCATCAAATTAAAAGGTTCTAAAATTTATTTTAAAAAAAAATTAATTGTAAAATTAAAACTACTAAAATATCTAATTTTAACCCCCAAAAAAATCAAGTTTAAACTTACCATCATAAGTTTTGAATTATTCTTTCTCTCTTTTACCATAAAGTTCAAATATGGTAAAAAAAAACTTAAATATAAAATTTTAATTAATATTTTTTTATTAAAAAAATTAAAATTTAGATTTACTATTAATATCAAACATAAAAATGCCCCACTTATCGATTCTAATTTAGACCCCAAAATGTCTTGGGACGCCCCTGAGTCTAAGTCTTGTGATATTTCATTGTTGTAGTGGCATCAAAGATTCAAGTAACGGAAAAGAGTCTCTCTGCTTGTAATAGTAATGCTACTTATATTTAATTTTCTCTAAACTCACAATAGGGCTGTCTTTTTTAGATATGTATATATCATTATCATTATAAACAATGGATTATTGTGACATAAAAAACAAATCTATAACATAGAAGAGTGGAGAGAAACCTGAGATATAGAAATTATTTTAGTTATTTTTGAGATGAAAAAATATTAATTGAAAATTTTAATTTAAGATTTATACATGCAAATAACCAAAATCAAATCCGATGACCACATATGATTAAGCTTGTTATCTGTTGAAGATAAAGAGAAACAACATTGAAATTTAGTTCCGCTAACAAAATAAAAATTTTATGAAACATATGTAAAAATAGTAATTTGCGTTGCATGGTCATAAACAAATGAGGTATGTTTTTTGTTGTTACAAGGTGTTCAGGCTTGTGCTGACTAATTCCTCAAACTTAGATATCGACCACCATAATCCGAGACGGTTTAAAATATGTTCTTTGATGAATAAGGGTGGCTGATCTTTAGGGGGTATAAGAAGTGATGAACCTGAAATTCCTGGATAAAAAATTAAAGAAATCATGTATGTTTAGCAAGACAATCATGTTTGCGATTAGGTTTGGATCATAATGAGCTACTCATGTTCTCTTTTTTATGCTCATTTTGTGTGCTCTATAGAACAATTAAGAAAAAATCTAACCTAAATAAAATATGACATCAAATTTAACCCAACGAATTATAATTTTTTTTTTAAAAGTTTCTAATTTCTTTTTTCAATAATTCAACTTGTATTTATTTTAGAGATCTAATTTAAAAACTTAATGCACAATGGACATTCGATTGATAGTTAATTTTATTCTATATTAGCCCCCACCGCTCATCTAATAATAAAAATATATTAAATTTTCAAATTAAATCTCAAAATTAAGCTTAATAATGTTATTCAAAATTATTTGTGAGGGCCCTAAAATTTTCTTCCCATTTGGCTGCCCTACGCAATGGCTTTTATGACATATGCCTTGGGCCAGCACTATTTTTCCATCCCGTTAAACTCTCAATTATAAAATTATTAAATCCACCTTGTACAATATTTAACTAAATACAAGAGTAGTGAAAGTGTGCTTTTGAGTCTTGATGCATGTGTCAGAATACAAACAACTAAATTATAAATAAAATATACAAAACATCTAGTTTGAATGTTAACAAAGAAAAAAAAACATATAAGTCTTTATTCAAATACTTTTTATATTCTAATCATTTTATGTGAATTTCTTTTCTGAGAAAAAAAATAAAGTGATATATCAAAAGAATACAAATTGAAAAAAAAATCACATTTTTCTTTATGTACCACCAATTAAATAGATTATTCATAGTAATTGATTGTGTGTGTTTTTCTTAAACTTGTATCTCATTTATGTTGTATTGTGGAAAAAATGGCAACTCTATGATTTACCATATACAATGCATGTGGTAAAAGTAATGGAAATCAATCCGCATGGGTATTTTAGCAGTGTGGGGTTAAATTTGGACGAATCGTAGATCCATACCTTTACTGGTATCTCCCAAACTTAACTGATAGTTATTATTTATAGGCGATTACAAGTATTCAAAATTTATTCTCCTATAGATGAGTTTAAAGTGATTTTATATAGAAGTTCCTCGTTACAATAAAATAAAACCTGGAAAACTCTTTAGGCGCAACCGCCCAACCAATGGCAGAAGAAACTAGAGGTTCTTCCATGATGGGCTCGGTATTCATATTCTATTACTATGCCACATGTCTGGAGTGATGGGAAATAGGTATCTATATGAATCATAGCTTTTTGGCCTTTTGAAGGATAAAGTTTAGGAACCAACCTTAGGATACTTACTTTTAACTTTGAGATGTTCTAACAAAGGAATGAGGCAGAAAGTGAAACTAGCAAATAAATTGAACATGGAAGGGTGTCATTGGCCTTCAATGGTGATGATTTCACTTGACCAAAGAAACACTTAAGCTTTGAGTATGTGCTCTAACTCAGTTTAAGACATGATAGTCAGCCGTTGAATTCGAGAAATAGACGACATAAGTCTCCTATAGCAAAAAAAAATGTCTTAACAGAAACTTTATTTCAATCTGAACTCTAAAGCACAGGTATTGTCCATGTTTGACTTTTGAACTTTGATTACTTAACATGGGTTGAAATTTGAGTATAATTATAGGGTTGAAATTTGGGTCAAATTGAGATGGGTTTGATTATGGGTTGGGGCTACGCAACTTGTATTGAAATTTGGTTTCAATAGGTGTTAGTCTGGGTGTAATCATGGGGCTACATGACTTGTATAAAAACTTGGTTTTAATTGGTGTTGAGTTCAGATTTGATCCTGAAAATCAAGACTCCAACCCACTTACCCACCAAGGCTCCTAATAATTAATAAATGTTGATGGTTGGATCAATAGCTCTCACAGAAAAAGGTGAATGGAATGTATTAATCCATCAATCTAGAATATTAATTTAGACATAAAAAGTTGATAACATATTTAGTAAGTAAAATATTGTTGTTTTGGACTTATGGTAGAGGAGCATTCGTATCTTAAAATAGACGATACATATATTTTTAAGGCCAAATATTTCATACTACGCCTTTTTGCGGGTTCATATATTCAAACTTATCCGTAATTTTGATTTGCATAATTTATATAGAAAAGTGAAGATAGAATATTGACAAATTAATACTTGATAGTATAGTAGGAGTTGTAACATTATTGGACCCAGGAAAGAGTCATAATTCAATGAATTTCCACTCTTCATTTCCCAATACTAGTGTAGGGGCTGCCCCATTCATATAGAAGTACAGATGCTCAAGTCTATACTTCTCCCAAAATGTTTTAATTTCAAAAGGACAAGTAAATGTCATGTATGTTGTGTACATGTATTTGGTTTTTAAGGGGGAGGGGAGGTGAAAGAGTGTCTTTGTAGACTAGGGAGCGGAAGGGGAAGGGGAAGGGTAGGGAGGGATTGTGTTCCAAGACACAATGATTACCCGAGTCTTGGGGAAGCAGAAAGGGTTGGCGTGGAGAGAGAGAGAGAATATTGAAGTACATATGCGAGCTTGGCCGAGGTACCTAAGCTAAAATAAAGTTAACCAACCCCTTTTATCATGATGCATCACACACTCACTCGCTCACTCTCTCTCTCTCCTTTAAAATTTGTCTTTGGTCGGTCGACAATCTGTATGCTGTGTTTTCACAGTATCGTGCTTGTGTTTCCCCCATCTCTCTCTCTCTCTCTAATTGTAATTATACACCTTTGACCATTCACAAAGCAGCAGACTTTATAGGTTTACAGAAACATTTAAATAATATTATTTAATTTTAATTTATTATAATGGTTAAATAATAGATTTTGTCAGATATTAAAATTTTGTATTACTTTAATGACTACAATGTCATTATATTATTAAATCAACAAATTATGAGGCTTACCTTTTATTTATAACAGTAAAGAATCAATAGTCTAACCGTGGATAGTGAGAGAAAGGAGAGAATTCCGTCAAGAATGAAGGGAGAATGGCTATCAGTACTTAAGCACGTCTATATATGGCATGTTAGTAGTGGGGGTGCGGTGGGCATGGCAATGAGGGCCCAGAAAAAAAATGCAGAGGGAACCAAAAAGGCAACAATAAAGCACAATAGAAAGGGAAAGCTTAGTTGAATCAGGATAAAAGGGGTCATCAGTCATCACCACTCACCTCCACAGGGCTGTGGAAGAAAAAACCTACCAAGGTAGAGAGAGAGAGAGAGACCCTTCTTCACATATCAAAAGATTCAAAACTGTCTTCCTTTTCTGCTTCTTCCTTAATGTCCCTTTTAACTCCTTTTGCCCATAACAAGTATATCCAAGTGTTTGATCATTTCCTTTATATTCAGCCTTGTGATCTTTGTGTGAAAGAAAGAGAAAAGATGATGATCAAACCAGCCTCAAATTCTTGAATCTGATACTAGTTTTGTTGTCGTTGACATATATCAGCTCTATATAGAGTCTCTTTATAGATAATGTCCATATATTGAGAGAGAGAGAGAGAGAGAGAGAGACTTATGGTTGGTATGAAGGAAGAAAATCAAGGAGAGTGTTCACAGAGCTTCCAAGAACAATTACTTCTTCAACATCTATACCAACAGATGCAACAACAAAACAGTGATCCATTTATATGTGGGGATGGAGGTAGGTCAGGATTGATCTTCCCAGAACTCTCTCCAACCCTACCATGGACTCTCCACCCGGTTCACAACTTTAACCCGGTCCACTTTCCAACCAACCCGGTCCATGATCATGACGCATTTCTCCTCCCTCCACCTCCAACACCAGATGGAACTTTATTCAGCAGAAGACCTCCTGGTCTACAATTTGCATACGATTGTCCACCATCAGACCACCTCAGAATCACGCCCGACCCATTTGGTCAGGTGGTTCAACCCGGTTCAGCTCCCTTTGGTCTCCAAGCTGAGTTGAAGAAGATGGCTGCCCAGGAACTCATGGATGCCAAAGCTATTGCTGCCTCCAAGAGCCACAGTGAAGCTGAAAGGAGACGAAGAGAGAGAATTAACAACCATCTTGCTAGGTTGCGTAGCTTACTGCCTAGCACCACCAAAGTATGTATCAACTTACAGTTATGGTCATTTTATTCTCACTAGTACAACAAGATGTATTTTGTACAAGTTAGTGAGTTTATACTACTTTGGTGTTCTTTTTTTAATAATAAGCAACACAATGAATCCACCCTTGTTACAATAACTTTCATATATTTACAATCAGTTCCAAATTAAAGGAATTAAGTAAGTCCGAGAGTAGAGTTTGGGTCATGACGCAACAATAAGATTGCTTTGTTGTGATTTTGACACAGAATTTAAGTTACATAAACCATCTTTGTATTTTTTATGTAGTGTAAGATTGCATATATTTGACTATTTTTACACTTATTTAGAGGTGTTCAAATTTTTTATTGGCCGCAATTTCCTATCCACTCTTTCCTACTCTACTGAATAGCTAGCCACAAAAATCAAGTAGGAATGCGGAAGAGTTTTTTGTCTTCCGATTAAATCGAGTAAGAATGCAGAATACCCATTAATTTAAGCATTTTTACCCTACCCTACCCGCAAAAAATATATTTAATTTTTTTATATTTTTTTTAGTAATTATAAGAATATCTGTGTGATATAATTTATATTTTAGCATTGCTATTGTTGTGAATGTTTGAGTTGTGAAAATATGAACTTTTTTTTTGTGTAGGTAACATGATTTGTGGTGAATTGGTTATCTATTAGAGTAGTTATGATTTTAGTGTGTTTCATATAGTTTAAACTTAAAATAATTGTTATTGTATTTATGTAATAATTATGATAAATTGATGTTCTTACTTTCTTATATATTTTATTGTAATTGTTATTGTAGTTGTTTTATATTTTAGTGTTATTGATTTATTGTGTTGTTAAATTGGTGCATGTTATTTAATTGAATTGTTAAAATGATCCAAAAATTAATAGTTACAAAAGTATTTATTCAACTTCCTACCCGATTAATCGGATAGGGTAGGTAAAGAAAAAAATTTTCCTCAAAGTATCGGATAGGAAAATAAAAGACTATATTTTCTACCTGTATGATAGGGTGAACACCCCTACACCTAGGCACGAATCGTGGCCCACCCTATAAAATTAGTTCACAAGTCACTAGAGTAGAGTCAAGTTTTCAATACTATTCATGTTGTTTTCTACTATATTGAGCTTTTTAGGTATCAAGATCACTCAATATCCCCTAGGATTCTATTTATGCATCCATTCATTCTCATATTGTGCATGTTCATATTCTATTGTTTAGATCAATTAATTGTTTATCTTGTTTTTGGTTGGTGGTCTGAGTCTTGTGGTAGTTCCGAGGAATGAAAAACGAAAAAGGGTGCAAGCGTTAATGTCGCTTAGTTGATATGATAAAGAGAAACCAGTCAGTAGTTGAAAAGCTTCCATCGAAAATTCTTGCCGGATATGCTGTCAAACTAAGAAAGGAATGAAAAGAAATACAGCCGACAGACAAATAAAGTAGCATCCTTATAAGTCACGCACGCTACGATACTCACTCTTGCACCCAAAATTCACCATTAGCAGCACAACACTTCCTAGCTTTCTAATCTCCTAATCTCATCTCTTCCTTTCCCAAAATGATAATTACTTTTGAGTAGTACCTATATATGCTTAAGTTTAAAAATGTTATAGATGATTTCGTGTAGTTTTTTCTTTAAGTTGTTTAGTGTCTAAATCTTTTCAATTCACACTTTGACCATTTATAAATTTACATATAGTCGAGTCCAATTTGTGTTGTATATGAGTGGAGTTTATGTTGATTTATTTGTTTGATGGGTTTGGCGGATCCACACATTAAACATCCGAACTCACTGAGACTATACATAAATTCATTAACTTCCAGTTGATTTGGTGTTGAGTTTCGTGGTTCAATCCATGCAAAAAACATTTATGTGTATAGGTGTGTTCAATTCGTATGGTGTTTGGTTTATGAAAAAATAAGTTGTGTTTAATTGAAATTCACACATTAACCACCCGAATCAACTAAGGCTAAAAGAAAATCCATTAACTCCCTGTTTATTTTGTGTCAAGTTAGTGGTTCAGACCATAAGCAAATCATTTAGAAATATATAAGGTCATGTCCATATCATATGCTGGTTCATACCGGGTATAAGCAGTATTTAATGGGATTTGTATAATGTCTAGTCGGTTTCTTGTAAATCCATTAGTCTAATGGGTCTACCATTTATCACTTGATTACACTAAGGCTTAAAATAAACTCGCTAACTCCGTGTCAATTTAGTGTGATAGAATTGTTAGTAGTAGTTAGGCTGTAGGACTGTAGTAAGCTGTGCTTTTGCTTGCTTACAAAATGATTTACTCTCTTGGGTTCTTATTGTCCTTTTTGGGTTAATGCTTGTTCAGACAGACAAAGCTTCATTGCTGGCTGAAGTGATACAACATGTTAAGGAGCTTAAGCGTCAGACTTCTCTGATAGCTGAATCGAGTCCAGTCCCGACTGAGATTGACGAGTTAACAGTTGATAATTCCTCCGATGAGGATGGTAAATTTGTGATCAAAGCTTCAGTTTGCTGTGAGGACAGGTCAGATCTCTTGCCTGATCTAATCAAGACCTTGAAAGCACTGAAACTAAGAACACTAAAAGCCGAGATCACTTCACTTGGTGGACGTGTGAAGAATGTATTATTCATCACTGGGGAAAAAGATTCGAATTCCATCGATCCACAACAGCAGCAACAAGATCAATACTGCTTAAGTTCATTACAAAAAGCACTTAAAGCAGTGATCGAGAAAGCAAATGGGGATGAGTCTTCTTCAGGGAGTGTTAAGAGACAGAGGACTAATTTCAATATCCTAGAGCAAAGGTCTCTTTAATTTGCTATGACCTCAGAGCTCTTTTGCATAATGTTTTTGTTTTTTTGGTGAGCTTGTGTTTTGAGTAATGCTGCATTGACCAAATAATGAGACTAAATTAACGATGCGATGCTGAAGTGTTGGTAATGATAATGCTTAAATAAAAGTTTCTGATAAAAATTAGAAATTTTGAAAATCAATAGATGAACTGAAATGTTGATTTCTTAGTCGTCATAACCATATCTGGTTGGTCTCGTTGTATGATAGGTGTAGCATTTCGAGTTGTTTTTATCATCAAAGTCGGACTTTTGCAGGTATATAACATAATCGCTAAAACTTGTTGTCCTACTTATTTTTGAAAATCTTAATTTTACAGCCTCATCAACTGTTTGTGAGTATTGAGCTGTAGGTTCTAAGTTGAATTTCTCTTGTAATGGTGGTTCTTGAGTGGTTTGTTCATCAAAGATATTATTGTTAATACCTTAAAAAACAACCTCTCTATCTCTATCCATGGGTATAGTATCCAAATCCCATGATTCCTCCCACTCACTATTACAAGGATTAATCTCATTGTTGACAACATCTTCAATGAATTTAGATATGATAAATTTTCCAATAACATTTGCATGCTATTAGGAATTGTGCAAACACTATATTTGCATGTGCTGTGCACTGAATGTTATTTGGGTTGTCTGTATGTCTTTAAAGGCTATTTGCATGAAATTGCTTCTGATATATTTCCAATAATATATATTAGCATGCCTTTAGATTAGGTTTACTTGTGGCATATGCATGTTAGATGTGCTAGAAATATGTAGTCTTGAAAAATTATTTGACATGAATTTAAGAATTTGTTTATGAATTATGTCATATAAAGATATCATATTGACATGTGAGTAGTCAAAGCATCTTAAGTCATGTTGATTAGTATCACATAAAGATAAATAATATTTGACATTTTCATATTGCACTTAAGTTACTTTGAGCAATTGTTTGGCCCCATAGGGAGGTAATTATTTGTGATGCTTGATTGGAATAAGATACTGAATTAGATATTATGAGGATTGGATGCCCTAAGCCTATATGTATGTGTTCTTTTCTTCTAAGTATTCTAATTTGTTAGTTTTATTACAAAAGTAATAGCAAATTTAAAGCACGATGCGACCTCCGCCCATAAGAAGGTTTAAATTTGCCACTGAATTTGGCATTCATTGATTTAAATTAATATTAATGTTTCATAGCAATAATATTTGTGTTTTTTGGTTATGTAGTTTTTTCTCCTTACGATAATTCGTCTCGTATTCCTTTCTTGTGTGGTGATTATTTTTTGGACTAGAAAGACAAAGTTCTCTTAACATTAAGCTGCACGTACATTGACTTGGCGCTTTGTGTGAATGAACCACCCATCCCCACGAAATTAAGCACATCATTAGATTGATCCCAGATCGTTTATACGCAGCCTTTTCATTTAGCGTGTTTGATTCTGTGGGGGCAGGTCGTTCATCTATACAAAATGCTAAGTCAATGTCCATGCACCTAAAGCTAAGAGGACTTTGTCTTTTCAATCCAAAAAATTATTACCACACAAGAAATGAACATGAGGCAAATCATTATAAGTAAAATTGCATAACCAATCTAATTCAATCAATGTCAAATTTAGTAGCAAATTTTAAAATTTCCTATGAATAGAGGTTGCAACATGCATTAAATTTGTTATTACTTTGATAATAAAACTAGAAAATTCTAAAATATTAAGAAGAAAATAACACATTCTTGTGGGCATACGACACTCAATCTTCATAGTACTTAATTCACTATCTTATTCCAACTAAGTTATTACAAAAATAATTACCTCCGTATGGGACTAAGCAATTAGCTATAATAACTTAATTGTAATATAAAAATGTCAAATATTATTTATCTTTAATTATGTGATCAAAATATATGTTAATAGGTAATGAATGGATTTCTGAATGCTCTTAAGTCAATATGATATCTTTATATGACATAATTCTTAACATGGACAAAAATCTTAAATTCAAGTTAAATAATTTCTCAAGACTAAATTTTGTAAAAAAAAACCATCATGCATATACCATAAGCAAATCTAATGGAAAGGAATGCTAATTCTACTAGATGATTTTGAGATGCAAAAGTCATATACATAAGTCATGAAAACATTGCTGTGAACAATTCCTCAAATTAAACAAGTGACTTTCCCAAACACATGTACATGTGATGCATTACATTAACCAAAAGTATTCATCACATAATACATGTAAGTACAGTCTCGGTTCCAAGTAGCATGCCTAACTAATGGAAAATTTTGACAATTAAAATTCGGGAAAGTCTATGGTACCGTGTACCACTGATTATCATTTTACATGGCAAAATTAAAACTTTGAAAAGAGAAATTATGGGTCTGTTTGGCTTGGGTTTCAAAAATAATTTTTTGCTCTCCAACCTCTAAAAACAAGGAAGATATTGTTTGTTTAACTTTTTTATTCTTCAATTTTTTTAAAATTTTGAGAATTGAGATATGATTTTAGAAAACAACATTTTGTTGTTTCAAAGTTTTTTGAAGTAAAATGAAAACACGGAAAACAGAGCATTTCCAAATTAATGAGTTTTCCACTTCGAGCCTTCTTAGTAACAAAAAACACAATCTAATATAAAACTTTTTTCCCTATCTTTCTCTTCGACCTTCTCTCTCTCTCTCTCTCTCTCTCTTGAGACTCTATCTCTCCACTTCAGAGACCAAACCAAACTCACACAGTGTCTTCTCTGATGAAATGGTTTTCTCCAGCAATTGAAGATCTTCTTATCTGTTGATTGAGGGCTCCCGATGATTGAGATCTTCAAATCAAGGTTTTTTTTTATAGATCTGAGTATTTTTTTCAAATATGAGTTTATTTTTTTCAGATCTAGGTCTTCTCTGATGAAAGGGTTCTTCTTCAGCAAATGGCCTCATCGTCTTTTCTCTGTTGACTGAGGGCTCTCCGACATGTACCAGAGGCTATGTATGTTTGATCTTGAATGGATCTTGGATTTTGAATTTTGGATTTGTGTTCGTCTTCTCCATTGTGTTCGTCTTCTTTGTCGTGCTCAAATCTGTGTGTATGGGCTTGTGTGTGTGTGTGTGTGTTTTTATGTTTGTGTGTGCGTGTGTGTGGGTTTTGTGAAAACAAATATGGGGGAAAGAAAGATAGAGATGAGAAATTATGGGTTTTGTGGATTATTGTCCAATCAGATTTTTTAATTTTTTATTCTTTAAAACTATTTTCAAAAATATATAACCAAACAGGTTTTGCAATCTATAAAATTTTCAAAAACACTTTTTTAAAATTCTTCTCAAAAACTATTTTTAGATAATCTTTTTGAGATTCAAACTAAACAGGTCCTATATTCGCACAAGGAAGACATATTATAAAATAAAAAATTCCTAGAATCTGAAAATTAAATAATCAGATGCACCAAAATAGGCTATGCACGTGAACCATTATTGCTCAAATATTGGACAAAATCTAATTAAAATAACTCATGCATGGGAATGCTCAAGAATCCTATCTGTTCATCCGAAACTTGAAAGTCTTCGATATGTAATTTGTTCTTCGGTGGCTGTCATAAGGTTAAAAAAACAGTAGGTCTTTTATGCCCCCATGAAAAAAGTGATAAAAATATCACTCATGATTTTAATATTTCAACTCCTTTTTTTTTTTTTTTTTGATACTGTGATAGGGAAACTTCAATATTTTATTGGCATGGTAAACTAAAAAAAAAAAGATCTTCAGGTCAAACAACATAATAGAAGGATTTACTTACCTTTTGTTGTAATTTCTGAATTGCAAGCCTTAAATTCATCAAGCACTCGTAAGAAAATCAAACACTCTCATTGTCTCCAACTTGGCATTCTTTCAAAATAGTCCATCTGTATTTTGATGACATTTACAGATCTTTATTTATAGGCAATTTAGGAATCTCAACCCTTATCATTTAGGCAGTATTATCAAATTCTTTCTACAAAGAATCTGTAACTGATCTGATAACTATTATCTTGTAATGGTTACATTGGCCTAATCCCAATTACTAGAGTTTGATGAAAAAATTATCTCTATATTTATAAATATTATCCATATCTACATGTATTTATTTACATATACATATATATATATATGTGTGTGTGTGTGTGTGTGTGTGAGTGTGTGTGAAAAACTTTAATTTTATATCTTATTCCTAATTTTTATTATAAAGTCAATGATATCCACATATTAGTTCCTCTAATTTTTGTTTCATATATCTATTTAACTTCTAAATTCTTCTAAATTGTTTTATTAATAGTATTTGGCTTCTAAATTTTATATTACTTTTATTCAATTTTTATTTCTTATACCTATTTGACTTCTAAATACTTTTAGACTCTTTTTATAATTGTATATGATTTTTAAATTCTTTTGGACTTATTTATTAATAATTCACTTATATACAATTTTTTATATCTGTGTTTATATTTATATAAAGAAATAAAGTTCAATGTATATTATATTACTCTGTAGTCTTATATATATTAGGGTATCTCCAACTCAAATTTAAATTTGAGTAAAAAAGTTCAAAAAACTTGATTCGACCCAAACTTATATCAAATAAAGAGAGACACATTTTTTAATTCAAATTAAGAGAGACTCAAATCCTTACCAAATCTTTAATGGTGAGATTTTACAATCTTTTAAAAATTCAATGGTTATCTTTACTCTCTTTTAAATTTGAGTTTGCCCACATTTAAATTTGAGTTTCTTTTTATTTAAATTTGAGTTTGTCCATTGGAGTCCTTTATATCAAATCAAATTTTTTACTCAAATTTTAAAATTGAATTTTGAAAAATCTAATTTTTATAAAAAAAAATTAGATTTAAAATTGGATTTAAAAATTGATTTTATAAATTTTCAAAAAAATTTAAAAAAAATATGTGTAATTGATCTATCAAAAATATGTTTAATAAAATTCAATTTAAAATTATTTTAAAAATTTATAATTAGTTTTAGAATATATCAAAATTATTATTATTTTTTATCTCCAAAATATTTGCAATCTATCCTAAGATCTTTTAATCTATCGCAAGGTTGAAGTAGTCTCCCCCAAATTTTTTTGAAAAACAGTAAGTTTGTGATCGATAAAATCTCCCTATAAAGTTGTAAATATTTGAATCCATTGAAGTTGTCAAAATTTTCACAAATTTGATAAGCATAACATTGAAGTTGTAAATATTTTCACAAATTTAGTAAATATATCACTGAAATTGTAAATATATCATAAATTTAGTAAACATACCACTAAATTTGTGAGAATATTTACAACTTCAGTGGTATATTTATCAAAT